ACTCACACCAGTCGACTAGCACCCAGGTACCTACTTACTGCTAGGTGAACAGTAACAGCAGGTGTCTTTAGGAAACCCGTTCTGTTTCCATCCGTACCGGGGATCGAACCACGGACCTTAGTGTATGGGCTGAGTGCTCGACCAACCGAGCCAAAGTAGAGGATAACTCTAATTCCTTGGATCAAGAGTACTTCAACATCGAGGCACGTCCCCCTGAAAGGTCCACTAGTTACAAACAGTTAACAACTGACAACAGTAATCTGTCTTATCAAAATTTACATTAACTTCCAAATTTATTACAAACAAGACAGTCCCCCTGGTAAAGTACTGACTTTTTGTAAGTTTGTAGGAAACAGGTTAGGGTTCCTGACGCGGGTTTGTCATATGTGAATCCACAGTGGAGTCTTTGGGCCCATATGACCGAGACTTCCTGGTTTACCTCTCCAACCTCCTCTAAAAAAATTTGGTTACAACCATATCCAGTGATATAACCCTCCCGGGTTTGAAATCAAAAAACCTATCTTAGTAAGGTAATGGAGAACAATCATTCTGCAAGAAATGTACAAGTGATATGCGTATGCCCTGGTGGGTTTAGCGCTCCCTTTTGTTATAATAATAAACACATTTTTTAAATACACTAAAAAGATCAGTCAAAAATCCTTGACATATAATGGCTTCTTATGCAGAGATTGAGGTGTTTCACTGTCAACCCAGAGCGACTCAACATCGACTAGCACCATATACTTTACATGCAGAAAGTAACACAGTGTCTTTATAGGTGTTCAGTCCCATCCTACGGATTGAACGGTGTGTCATGTCATAATGCTTCAAACCACAAAGTCATGGGGATGCCAGACCTTGTATACAGATCCAGAGGTGAGGTGCAGGAGTTGAAGACGGCACTCAAAGGTGCAGTGGACCCACTAGTTAACAGTATCATGACAAATCAAGTTTGTTACAGCACTGTGTGCAGCATTTTTTGATGTGAGAAAGGATAAGGTTTCCATACTCGGGTTTATCATAATATAGCTATTTCTCTCTAACCTTACATGTTAAAACCTCACACTTAAAAAATATTGGTTTACAACCATGCATCAAGTAAAAACCTTAGTTTTATTTTAAGTTATGTACTAAAATTTGTTTTACCATTGGATGGGAAAACATATTACAATAAGAAACCGTTGTGCACGATGTTTAATCTACGGTTTTTAACCCAGTAAAAACCACTATGTGAAATTTTCAATGGAAATCCTATCGTCGTGGTAATTTCAACTTATATTTCAAGAAATCTCAAGTGATACTTAGTGTACAGACCCTGTAGGTATATACAGCTCTCCCAGTTGTATTATACATAATGCAGTGTATATAAATTACAGTATATAAAAATCCACAAATCCCTTAATAAAGTTTTAAAATTTTCAGATGCACAGTTTTACTAACACACGATGACGTGTATATATTAACAGGAGTGAAGAACAGTGTTTTTAGTTCACAAAATGCCTCACAGGTGTAGTCAATATTAAAAAAGGCTGTATCAGTGTATATACAAGTATGCAGGAGTTTATACACAAGGGATGGACACAGTGTATTAAGCAGATTGCCAAACAGTTTTATACACACAGTGCACATTTTATTGATGAAGAGACACAGGAATAAAAAGTCCATACTCGTGTATTATCAAATATGCTTATTTTGTAATTACACAAATGCACACATTTATAACACACTGGAACAGGGGGTTTTACAACCAGGGGAATCACAAAAAAAGTATTTTATTAAGTTTTCATACATAAATATTACAACAGAGGAACACATATGTTAGGGCAGATGAAAGTGTGCAGAAACCTCGTGTAACAGTGCACAAGTGTATGTATCACATGATGCACCAGTGTCCATGGACACACATGCACCTTGTATATACAACATGCAAAATTATATAACCAGCATGCACAATGTATAATACATACAGATACACATTGTATATACACACAGATGCACACATTGTATATACACACAGATGCACAGTGTATATACACACAGATGCACAGTGTATATACACACAGATGCACACAGTGTATGTACACACAGATGCACAGAGTGTATGTACACACAGATGCACACAGTGTATATACACACATGATGCACACAGTGTATATACACATGCACACAGTGTATATACACACAGATGCACACAGTGTATATACACACGAGGGGCCAGGACTGGTACTATACACCGAATCATACGGGTGAATAAAAGATGGACACAGTGTATTACACACAGATGCAAAAGTGTTATAACACAGATGCAGTGTATGTACACACAGATGCACACAGTGTATATACACACAGATGCACACAGTGTATGTACACACAGATGCACACAGTGTATATACACACAGATACACAGTGTATATACACACAGTGTATGTACACACAGATGCACACAGTGTATATACACACAGATGCACACAGTGTATATACACCAGTGAATTGTAACACAGATGCACACAGTGTATATACACACAGATGCACACAGTGTATATACACACAGATGCACACAGTGTATATACACACAGATGCACACAGTGTATATACAAAAGTGTATTTACACACAGATGCACACAGTGTATATACACAGTGTATGTACACACAGATGCACACAGTGTATATACACAGTGTATGTACACACAGATGCACACAGTGTATATACACAGATGCACACAGTGTATGTACACACATGCACACAGTGTATATACACAGTGTATATACACACAGATGCACACAGTGTATATACACACAGATGCACACAGTGTATATACACACAGATGCACACAGTATATATATACAAAGATCCGCACACTTAGTGTTCATAAACGAAGTTCCACACTTACGTCTGCATCAGGTTTGTTAACTTCATGAAGATCATCATAATGAAAGAACAATTACCAGGATATGACCAAAAATATCTTGCTTAACCTTGCCAAACAAAAGCAGTTTTACATTTAAGATAGTGTAACAGCACCGTATATGCAGTACAAGCGTTCATTGTTCCAGCGTCTAGCTGTGTACAGCTTTAACAAGTCCCAGTAAAACTACACAGAATGAAATGTCACAATAAGCGCTTCTTCTGTTATGTTTGTCGTTTTTTCCATGTATCCAGTAGCACTAATGTGTAGACACAACATACACATATTTTCAAACACTGTGGACGGATGCTACCTTCACATTATGTACACATCTTCCCCGTGACATCCTAAGAGGTCAACAGCAGTGAATTTAGAAGAACTGCTGGTGGCCTGGTGGTTAACGCTCTCGCTTCACACGGCGAGGGTCCTGGGTTCGATTCCCAGCCAGAGTAGAAACATTGGACGTGTTTCTTTCCACCTGTTGTCTATGTTCCCCATCAGTAAAATGGGTACCTGGGTGTTAGTCGACTGGTGTGGGTCGCATCCTGGGACACTGACCTAAGGAAGCCTAGTCACAGACCGGGCCGCGGGGGCGTTGACCCCCGGAACTCTCTCCAGATAAACTCCAGATCCACCATACACTATATATTAACAGATTTTACATAATATACAAATTCTTGTGGAACTAACACTCGGTATACCGGATATTACTATTAGACTCGTGTACGGTGATTATTGAGTGACGAAGGTAAATTACAGGATAGTGGTGGTGTGTTGAGCCTCGTGGTTTTTCTGCCCCGCGTAATCTTCTCGTAATTACACCGGTAATTAGTGTTCAGTGACCTGGTATATAGTGGGTGGAGTAAGTTGGGGTTGTGGGTCATTATGGTGAAGGTCGTGTTCATGTAGGTTTGCCAGGACGGGTCCTGGCCCGGGTCTTATCCATGTGGTGACCCGACAGTGGCTCCCAAAGGGGTGTCGGAGTTTGTACAAGTGATGTAGTGCATACAGCCCTATGGCAAGGGCACGGTGAGCATTCGTGTCAAGTGGAGTACCGTTTACTGCCCTATGGCGGGGGCAGCCCATGGAAAGGGCACGGTGAGTCTTCAGGTCAAATTATTTTGAGCATGTGCCCGTGTAGTGGGTGAGATTACGTAGGTGGGCATTTTAAGTGTTAGTGACGTTACTGATGTAGGACAGGTACACAGTTGTTACAGTGGCGTTACTGGTGTAGGACAGGTACAGTATTGTAGTAGAGACAGTGGATGTTAAAGTGGGTATATTTGACAGTTGTTACAGTGCGTTACTTGAGTAGGAATGTAGACATTCACTTAAGGTATTACCTTAGACCAAAGAAAACTGTGGATTTAGAGGGGGGGCCATTTATTTCTGCAATTAAAAAATACTTGGAGCCATGTTTAAATATTATGTAAAACCTGGTAAATCAGTGAAGTACACGGAAAAAATATGTGGATCTCTGGTAAACATCACTGGGAAGATAACTGGTTTGTTCTCTGGGAACATTTACTGGAAGTAGGGTAAACATTCACTGTGGAAGATACTCTGGGTAAACATTCACTGTGGAAGATACTCTGGGTAAAATCACTGTGGAAGATTTCTCTGGGTAAACATTCACTGTGGAAGATACTCTGGGTAAACATTCACTGTGGAAGATACTCTGGGTAAACAATCACTGTGGAAGATACTCTGGGTAAACATTCACTGTGGAAGATACTCTGGGTAAACATTCACTGTGGAAGATTTCTCTGGGTAAACATTCACTGTGGAAGATACTTGGGTAAACATTCACTGTGGAAGTTACTCTGGGTAAACATTCACTGTGGAAGTTACTCTGGGTAAACATTCACTGTGGAAGTTACTCTGGGTAAACATTCACTGTGGAAGTTACTCTGGGTAAACATTCACTGTGGAAGTTACTCTGGGTAAACATTCACTGTGGAGTTACTCTGGGTAAACATTCACTGTGGAAGTTATCTGGGTAAACATTCACTGTGGAAGATTTCTCTGGGGTAAACATTCATGTGGAAGATAACTATGGGTAAACATCACTGTGGAAGTTACTCTGGGTTTAAACATTCACTGTGGAAGTTACTCTGGGTAAACATTCACTGTGGAAGTTACTCTGGGTAAACATTCACTGTGGAAGTTACTCTGGGTAAGCATTCACTGTGGAAGTTACTCTGGGTAAACATTCACTGTGGAAGTTACTCTGGGTAAACGGGTTGTATCATTTTGCATGTTGTGTATTATAAATGTTTACAATAGTTTGTACGATGGTGGGGTCAGCCAGGGTGGATATGTCACCCAGTTCGTCAGGCTGCCCAGCTGCTACTTTTCTAAGTATTCTTCTCAGGATTTTACCAGAGCGAGTCTTGGGCAGTCCAGGACACACCTGTCATGTCAAAGAAAAAAAAAGATTAGTGGTGAAATAACAGGGACACAAATTTCAACTTAGAAATAGCTTTTATTATAAAGCTAGTTTTACTAGCATTCTCTCTAACTAGTATTGACTAAGCCTTGCTGATGGGAAATTACCATGCATGGAACAATGTTAATTGCATCTATGGAAAAAATATTTATTGTACTCTGGTCCTGGACCGGGCCGCGGGGGCGTTGATCCCTCGAAATACCCTCCAGGTATACTCCAGGTAGACTCAATAAAAATTAAGTCACAAGTATCCCAACACAATTGATAATTTTTGCACTTGTCTAAGCAAAACACATAATGTGTAACTAGTTAGTGTTCCAGGTAGGACCGTAAGGTCGTCTTAAGTTTCGTTCTATGTGCGTGTTATTTGTGTATTGTTCCAGTCACGGTATTGTGCCTTTTAATTTGTTTAACGTTAAACATGTCCAGTTCACTCACCATTATCTCGTCAGGCACGGCGTATCCTGCAATCTGTGACCGCACCAGCTTCTTCAAGTCTGCCACAATATTCTCCTGACTGGATTCCAGTTCCTCCTTGAGTACAATGAAGGCGAACACAGCTTCTCCCTTCACTGGATGAGGGAAGCCAACCACAGCCGTCTCAGACACCTCCGGATGCTCCGTCTGTACTCGCCACGGCCAGCAACCCGAGTCGTGAGTACATAGTGACATTAGTGATATCATTATATTGTAACATGGGGAGGAAGAAATGGTAACAGCATCTGGGGAAAATGAGGTAATCAGATTTGATCTGATGTAGGAAAGGGTAGCTTCAATTCCTTGGATTAAGAGCCCTTTATTTGCTGTCACAGTGAAGAACATTAATTTTTTTAATTCAGATATTTTTTAAATCTTCTATTCACAAGGTGTCTTGGTGCAAATTGATCATTTGATCCAAGTAACTGGACTTATAATATCTTCCATACCCCAGGTGTTCTGTAAACCAAATACGTTTCACTCATGCAGTGGGTGAAACATCAACAAAGGATTAAGTTACACTTCATTTGTCTCTCTTTTACCATGGAATCAAGACACTAGAGGTGGTCACCATGGAATCAAGACACTAGAGGTGGTCACCATGGAATCAAGACACTATAGGTGGTCACAGGAACAAGACATGGGTGGCACCTGAACAGACACTAGAGTGGATGGAATTAAGACACTAGAGGTGATGATGATGATGACAGCCAAGATACCAAAGGTGATCTCCATAGAAACTAAGACAAAACACCAGAGATAATCACCATAGCGTCTTCAACTTCAGCGGTGCCCAGGCGATGACCCGTCACGTTGATAACATCGTCCATGCGACCTGTAATGTGATAGAAACCTTCCTCGTCCCTGGAAACACATTTAATTCTGTTATGTCCCTAAAACTCAATGTATAAACACTCAAAAAATTACAAAGATATAACATAATGGGTTCAGGAACTAGACCTCAATATTACAATGGTCTACAAATTTTGATCCATTTTGTGCTTTGGAGAAAAAAAAAATGGATGTATTAAATGAATGACCATAATAGGCTGGCTAAAGGAAACTGTATAAATGTTTTTAAATTGTGCATTGTGGGTTTGGATCAAGAGCCTTTTAGCAACCGGCCTGAGTCCATATCTTCATAAATACAGCCGATCTTGAATTTTATGCATCACAATCTTATCCAGTGACCCAAGATTAGTAAGAAATGACTATTGCGATGAATGGTTTGAAAAACCGACAAGTTGAAGATTGAGACACTTATGCAGCATATGGGGAATCTTTATTCAGGAAACGTTTCGCCACACAGTGGCTTCATCAGTCCAATACAAAGAGGAAGGCGTAAGGAGAGGAGGAGTATGAGGTAATCAGTCTCTCAGCCTGGAGTCGATGTGTTCAGTCCATCATTCTACAAGATTGATGGACTGAACACATCGACTCCAGGTTGAGGGACTGATTACCTCAAACTTCTACTCTCCTTACCCACTTCTACTTTGTATTGGACTGATGAAGCCACTGTGTGGCGAAACGTTTCCTGAATAAAGATTCCCATATGCTGCATAAGTGTCTCAATCTTCTAAGAAATGACTAGTTTTATTTCCGAAGCGATGTTGTACACCAGTGTAATGAAATGAAGCGGTAAATCCGTATGGAACATCTGTTTTAAGGAGAGGCAGAGGGTAGACTCTTCGTCTGGTAAACTCACACCAAGAGATACTCCAGTAGCCAAGAAACAGTTGCAAACTATTAATTTCGAGCAAAATTTGGAATTGCAAGAGTTGCAGGTAATGTGATCTAAACAAAACATGAAGCAATTGTTGCTAAGGTCAGAGAAATTTGTTCATATTTTCATTATTTTTACAAGTATATAATCATGTAAAATATAATAGTATTGCTGACGAAATTTATATTTGATTAGATATACCTCGACGGTAGTGAAAACTTACAAAGATAATTATAACACGAAGGTCTGTGGTAACTTTACGACTGTTAATTTTGCTGGACACAGAACAAACATGGTTCTTCTTCCATGGAAGTGTAATAGTAAATACAATAGCTAGTGTCGATTTTAATTTGATAGTAAATACAATAGCTAGTGTCGATTTTAATTTGAAGTTTATACCGTTGCAGAATATATTGGTTATTTCCGTTAAGTTGTTTGTAGGCGGCACAGAGATATAATCGACTTGTGTGAGAGCAAATTCTTTATCTAGTGTATTAATTCCATCACGTATTCGAAGGCCAATATGATTCAGAATTTATACAATTTATTTATATACAGACTGCCTCGCTAGTCAGGAATCTGGCTACGATTACCATTTTTTTTCATTGAGTTATAATGCTTCTGAATGAACACCATGACACCCACCACCTCACCTGTAGGCGCCATCACCGCTGAAATAGTAGCCGGGGAAGGGCGCGAAGTAGGTGTCTATGAAGCGCTTGTGGTCGCCATAGATGGTGCGGGAGATACCTGGCCAGATGGATCCCAAGCAGAGAGCACCATCCACACGTTTCCCCTCCACCACCTTGCCAGATGGATCACACAGCACTGGCAGTACCCCGAACATTGGGCGCATGGGCATCCCTGCGTTGATGTGGGCACCAGGTGCAGAGGGACGAGGACTGATCATGATGCCCCCAGTCTCTGTTCAAAAGAAATTAATCAGTATTCGTCAATAATGAAGAGTATATTCAGGAGGAGGCCTCCTGGTGGATACACCTGCTGGGGCCACTCCTAATTCCTGTCGTTTATTGCAAGCTCTTGAAAAAGTGTTGTCTGCAACACGAAAGGACTAGAGCTATCATTCAACTCCCCCCCGTGGACTGAAATTAAGTTGTAAAGAACAAATGTTAATAAATAAGAATGGTGGACAGGGAGGCGAACCGCGAATAAACAGAATGTAGAGCGTCGGACTGTCAATCTACAGGACGCGGTTCGCCTCCCTGTCCACAATTCTGTTTATTTATTGACAGTTGTTCTTTACAACTTAATTTCAATCCACAGGGAGAAGTTGAATGATAGTTCTGGTCCTTTCGGAACAAGTGGTACTGATCAATAACAACACTGGTTGTTTTGGCCCGCCTCATGGTGAGAGAAAACGCATGACGCTTTAGACCACTATACCATTGTTAAAGATTTTGTGGTCTAGTGGTCTAAAGCGTCATGCATTTTCTGTCACCATGAGGCCGGCCAAAACAGCATGGGTTCGACTCTTGGCTAGTGCAGTGTTGTTATTGATATAATGTGTGTGTAACTTATTAATTATATGGTAACACACATTCCTTCTTAATTTCTGATAGAGTAACGTTTAACTTGCATCCTCTTTTGATACATTATCACAACTTGCCACAACCCACCTGTATGTTGCCACTATTAATACTCTCTTCTCTGCCACCAGGACCCACCTGTCTGCCACCAGGTGTCTGTGAGATCACAGCGACCATCGCCCACCACACCATGAAACCAGTGCCATGCTTCCTGGTTGAGAGGTTCCCCGACACAACCCAGGACCCGCAGGGAGGAGCGGTCATGGCGCAGCACCCAGTCGTCACCGTAGCGCAGCAGGAGGCGCAGTGCAGTTGGTGCACAGTAGAAGTGCGTCAGACCAAGCCGAGAGACAGTCTCCCAATACCGACCTTCGATAAACATAATTACGTCAATAAATGGCTCAGACTCGTATGGGAAATAGGTAAACAGAATTTAAGATTAAAATTGATGCAGGAGTGTTACAGACCCATGGAAAGTAAGATAACCAAAGGGAAGAGCTCCAGTTCCCCTAAAATCGGGAGCTTTTCTCCGGCATCAAGGCTTTCAACACGCCACACTTCCCCTAGCTCCAAGCAACACTTGACCTGGCAGGGACAGTTCCAGAATTTGTATACAGGTGGAGCATAGAGGTGGTTGTCTAGTCGAAAGAGCTGTCTAGGAAACTTATCTTGAAGCACAATTAATTTGATTTAGTGGGGCTGATAGTTACCATCATTCAGTGTGAGGCAAGGTTATCAGTGTGGTGCCTAAAGGGTCAGTGCCACGGGGCAGGGAACAGCGGGACACCTGGATGATCAGGTTAGTGAAACCTGGCTATAGGCAAAGCAGTACACATCTGTCTTGAGGCAACACCGCACAGGTGAGCTCAGAGACAGGTGTTCACAAACTAGTAATGTTAATCATTCGCCAGAGACCAAAACACCTGTGGCTAAAACTAAGTATCAGTTGGTCGAATAGATCAAAGTATATACATATATAATATATGCATAATATACACGTATATAGATGGATCTTGATAGGTGGTAGTGGTTTACCTACCTGGATCAGGGTAGGTGGGAGTGCTCTCGTAGAGGAGAGTGGTGGCACCGTTTGCCAGGGGACCGTACACAACATAGGAGTGGCCAGTGATCCAGCCGATGTCAGCCACACAGCCGAAGATATCACCGTCTCGGTAGTCGAACACGTGCTGTGTTAGGGACACAGGTACATCAGAAACAGTACTGGATGTGTTTCGCTTGGTGTGCGATTCGGGAAAGGTATTCCATAAGCCATAACCCCATATTCCATAAAGTTAGGCAAGTGAACACAGATGCAACTAATGCGATATTTTATTGTGGCAACGTTTCGCTCTCCAGGAGCCTTATCAAGCCTAAACGGCTTGATAAAGCTCCTGGAGAGCGAAACGCTGACACAATAAAATGGCACATTAGTTGCATCTGTGTCCATTTGCTTAACAGTTTGTCGGTAATTCTATTAGCCACACACCATAAGCCCAGCCCCCTCTACTTCAATGATCCGAGAAAGGTATCCCCACATCCCATAATCTCAACCCTCTCTACCTTGGTACAAAATGAAGCATAATTATGTAAGAGAAATAAAAACCAGTGTTGACGATATTGAAGACAGAGGAGACAGTCACTGCATGGGAACCCAGTTTCATTAATAATTACAAATTTACATTTACGAGATTCCAGTCTGATGGTATGAAAACTTCTGAAGGTATAAACGAAAACCTTGGAAGGTAGATAAAAAAAATATTCAGGCATTTGCATGAAAGTATCCCATGGGGGGGATATCTAACCATCTTAAGCTACAGTATCTTACAAACCACGATACGGGTGGGGATCGAACTCACGGCTAGCAAGTTGTAAAACTTACGAGCTGACCTGAAGTTTTACAACTATCTTTCAATACTGAAATTTATCTTACGCTTCAAGTAAACTACTTACCCATTAGTTTTGATTATAATACAGTAAACGATTATAAGCTGCAGTATGCTACAGTAACTTGTGTTACGCTACAATAAACTATCGTACAAGCCAATGGTGTTTCAAAATGATGGACCCGATTTGAGTATATATTACTTTCAAATTAGGTTCCAATTTGAAACACTCAGTAATAATCTTACCTCCTCACGCGTCCAGCTTCCAGTCCAAAGCTACGCTACAATAAACTATCGTACAAGCCAATGGTGTTTCAAAATGATGGACCCGATTTGAGTATATATTACTTTGGAAATAAATGGTATAAAATACCGACACAATGGCAATATAAACACAAATGCAGTATAATGTGATCCTTTATTGACTACGTTTCGCCCACACAGTGGGCGAAACGTAGTCAATAAAGGATCACATTATGCTGCATTTGTGTTTATATATATATTACTTTAAAATTAGGTTCCAATTTGAAACACTCGGTAATAATCTTACCTCCTCACGCGTCCAGCTTCCAGTCCAAAGCAGCGATAAAAGATAAATTTACTTAACTTAGAAAAGACCTAATGGTGGAACTTTTCAGAATTAATTTTTTTTTTTTGTAATTTAAGTTCTGGCTTCGCCGTGATTCTTACACTTCCCGTAGGGAATAAAAAACCAATTGGTTTCAGGCTTTGTATATACTCTGACGATGTGTACATATGTAGGTATGTAGGAGAAATATGTTGATTCGTGAGCAGCGTTATGGCCCTTGAGAACTTACCGCTTAATTTTGATTCTAATAATTTTAATTTATGGAGTAAATTATTTTGTGGTTTGAGATTTTTTTTTCGTAAATTCTTACCCAATAAAAGTTCCAAAAGAATTTTTTTTTTAATCGTATCTTTTATTAGTTGTTAAAGTTTGAAGTTGGTTTACTGAAGGAGAAAGTCACAATACCGTGACTGCAACAATACACAAATAACCCGCATATGAGAGAAACTGACCATGACGTTTCGGTCGTCACAAGTTTCTCCTGTTTATTGGGTTATTTGTGTATCAATCTGCTACTTTATTTAGTCATTACCTACATCAAATATCAAACTGAATATTCAACAGTGAAGTCAACTTTCGGTTTGTGATAAATTCCTCGATGTCCGTAACTTGTGTTTTAAGCAATAAGATCACCGTAAACAGATACCAAAAACAGTGAAAAAGCGGTGAACTTCCAAGCGCTTTAATGATTTCTCACATTATCAAGGAACTGTGATAATGTGAGAAATCACAGACTCTTGGAAGTACACTATTTTTTCACAGTGGTTGTTTTGCAATCTTTTTTTTTTTTCGTATTGTGGGGCGAGAGCTGCTGACCTTGTGTGTGACGGAGGCGTAGAGGAGGTAACCTGCAGTAGTATGAGCCACACCCTTGGGAGACCCAGTGCTGCCGGAGGTATACAGCAGGAAGAGCAGGTCCTCAGCGTTCTGGACGGCTGGGGGACACTCCGTGGAGGCGCTGCTCAACACCTGCAGAAGGAACGACATGATATAGCAATTCCTCAGTGATCAGACAGATACGCCGTCGTAAGCGTCCTACGTACGGGTCATTTGTGTTATGTACTCAGATTTTGTTTTACAATAGTGCTCTGCTACCGTGTTTTGAATGATAGTTGTATTGTATGCGGCTACTTTATTCTGTAGGAGTTACACAGTGGGGACATTTTTTAGGCACAGTTAAATTTACAGGTCCTACCTCAGTTCATTTCACAGCAAAACTCTATTAAAAGTATATTAAGACCTCCCTGTGATGCGACCCACGATAGTCTGCTAACACCCAGGTGGGGAGAGAGGCAGCAAGGAGCGTTCTCACCCGTGCCGAGGATTGAACCACGGACCCTCAGTATGTGAGCTGAGGGTACTACCAACCGAGCCACGGGTTTAGTGCTTTAATGTGAAATAATATTAACAACAACTAGCTATGTTTTATGTCCCATTCCGTCACACAAGATGGGTTTTATGCATTAAATAATAGAATGCTTTAGCTGGGAGACTAAGGCAATTTAGTTACATCATTAACAAACTCACTACGTCAAGAATAAATAGTCATAACACCGTGGATGTAACAATACACAAATAACCAGCACTTAGGAACTGAAACAAAGGGTAATTACTGGTTAATTATCTGCTTCTAATCCAAATGTCATCATGGATTTGTCTCGTAAAAACGAGTCATTTGTACGAAGACAATATAACGAAATCCTCTTCCGTTGTACATTATTATTATTATAATCAAAAAGAAGCGCTAAGCCACAAGGACTATACAGCGCTGCAGGGCAGGAAGGAAGCGAGGGCATTAGGTGGCAAAATGTACAATGTAAACACGATTACAAAACAATGGCGAATACCTCACAATGGGAAGAATATTTCCCTGTTATCCATATCTTACATTTAACAGTAGGATTTTAACATGTACAAAATTAAGCTTATGTTAAGTAGATTCAGAATTATTTTTATTAAATGTTTATGATAATGAAATTTAGTAAGTTATCATTTATGAGTAAAAAAAAGTCTAAGGAATCTTTTGTTAAGAAATAAACAAGAGTTTTAAATAGAGTTTTAATAAGTTATAGACGTATAATTCATCTGGAAGAGCTGATGGTATAATGCTAACTTAGTTTACTATCAGACGGTAAGTTTGTGTTATCAGTTGGTATAAACCTCGGTAATAGATACCCATAAATTGGTTTAGAAATACACGTGAGCAAACACCAGGACATGTTTATTTGAAGACGTTTCGGTCCGGGGACTGAAACGTCTTCTAATAAAGAACAAAAAGGCACAATACCCTGAGTGGAATAATACTTAAATAACCCGCAAATAGGAGAGAGGAGCTTACGACGACGTTTCGGTCCGACTTGGACACTCCTTTTCCTGGTCATATATACTGGCTCCATCTCTTTTTCTCTTAGTATGACTCTGTAAATGGACCGAAACGTAGTCGTAAGTTCCCCTCTCCTATGTGCGGGTCATACGGGTGTAGTTCTCTAACAAATATGTCATGGAGTTTGCTCATGTGTCTTTCTTAACCATATTTCCAGTTAACTCTCTAACATTTATGTTAACCGGATGGAAGTTAGTCTCAAGAACCTTATGTATAACTCAGTTCTGTCCAAGTTAGGCTCTCGACCCCGCCTTCTAAGCTACTGGGTGAATCTTCCACACACCTGTTCCAGGCTGATGTCTTTGGGTCCCATGTTGACCTGGGCGCCGGTACGGCTGGCCACTAACACCTGCCTGACGGTGGGACACTTAGCTACTGCAGCATCCACTACCTGCTTCAGCTTGATCACCTTGCCTCCCCGCACTGCCTCATCTGCTGTGATGACTGTCTCCGCACCCGCTGTTCAATACACATTATACTAATTATTGTTGTTTTCATATTCATTAAGAGGCTTTAAACTTATTTACGTTATACAGCGACTGGGAATGGGAGGTAATCGGATGGGATCTAAGGATGGGAGGGTTAGTCTAAGTCCTGGGGGTCAAGAACTCTTCACCAGTATCAAAACACCTCTATTTACTGCTGAAATTCTTACAAGCAACGCTGAGTAGCAGTACAAGAATACACGGAAGAAGCTTCACTCACCATCCTGTACTCTGGAGGCCAGAGCTTCAGCAGAGAAGCCAGCAAAGACGACTGAGTGAATGGCACCGATCCTAGCACAGGCGAGCATGGCAGCTACAGAGAGTGGCATCACTGGCATGTAGAGTGCCACTCTGTCCCCCCGCTTCACTCCGCACTCCAGCAGCACATTTCCCATCCGACACACCAGCTCCTGCAGCTCCCTGTAGAGGGGACGACGAAGGGGCTCCCATCAATGACTGTGAGGGATTGAACGTGGGAGTATATTGGGAAAGGCTGATCATAGGGATTCCCATGGTTCACATCAAAGCTATCAGCTATATTGAGAGTGTAATAAACACAATATGGATCACACAAAACACTATCAACTAAAGATTAATGACACTTCAGCTACTTCTAGTTCTGTTTAGACATTCTGTAAATTAGGCTCTGGTGACTGACTCACGAGGGATCAGGACACTGGCATGTGAGATTCAAAATTTACTTGCCATGGGTTCAAATACCACTCGTTCCCTGATTTAATAGGCCCTGCTAAGTGAAAAAGACCTCCAAGAATCCCACAAAAACGTGTCATTATAAACTACCCCCATGAAAAATAAATCATAATAACAAGGCTGGAACAATTCACAGCAAGATGGAAATGTAAATCAAACTACGTTTCTCTCCTTTCTGAATCATTATCACTCGCCAGTGACTTGACAGTAGTCCAGGACGGGCAGACAAGTGTAACTTTTATTGTCAAGTCACGAGGTAGTTGGAGAAGTGTTTATCAACTCGTGTATAATTATGCTCAGCATGTAGGCTGTTCACTTCTCATTATCGCTGCAATAGTGAACCAAATTTAACTGACTAAATCCACATTTTCTATGACGTTCCTTTTGTTTACTGACTACCCTGTACCTGCCTCCACTGTTGCCACTTGACCACCTTGCTAGTGTACCTGCCTCCACTGTTGCCACTTGACCACCTTGCTAGTGTACCTGCCTCCACTGTTGCCACTTGACCACCTTGCTAGTGTACCTGCCTCCACTGTTGCCACTTGACCACCTTGCTAGTGTACCTGCCTCCACTGTTGCCACTTGACCACCTTGCTAGTGTACCTGCCTCCACTGTTGCCACTTGACCACCTTGCTAGTGTACCTGCCTCCACTGTTGCCACTTGACCACCTTGCTAGTGTACCTGCCTCCACTGTTGCCACTTGACCACCTTGCTAGTGTACCTGCCTCCACTGTTGCCACTTGACCACCTTGCTAGTGTACCTGCCTCCACTGTTGCCACTTGACCACCTTGCTAGTGTACCTGCCTCCACTGTTGCCACTTGACCACCTTGCTAGTGTACCTGCCTCCACTGTTGCCACTTGACCACCTTGCTAGTGTACCTGCCTCCACTGTTGCCACTTGACCACCTTGCTAGTGTACCTGCCTCCACTGTTGCCACTTGACCACCTTGCTAGTGTACCTGCCTCCACTGTTGCCACTTGACCACCTTGCTAGTGTACCTGCCTCCACTGTTGCCACTTGACCACCTTGCTAGTGTACCTGCCTCCACTGTTGCCACTTGACCACATTGCTAAGTGTACCTGCCTCCACTGTTGCCACTTGACTACCTTGCTAGTGTACCTGCCTCCACTGTTGCCACTTGACCACCTTGCTAAGTGTACCTGCCTCCACTGTTGCCACTTGACCACCTTGCTAAGTGTACCTGCCTCCACTGTTGCCACTTGACCACCTTGCTAAGTGTACCTGCCTCCACTGTTACCACTTGGCAACCTTGCTAGTGTACCTGCCTCCACTGTTGCCACTTGACCTTGCTAGTGTACCTGCCTCCACTGTTGCCACTTGACCACCTTGCTAGTGTACCTGCCTCCACTGTTGCCACTTGACCACATTGCTAAGTGTACCTGCCTCCACTGTTGCCACTTGACTACCTTGCTAGTGTACCTGCCTCCACTGTTGCCACTTGACCACCTTGCTAAGTGTACCTGCCTCCACTGTTGCCACTTGACCACCTTGCTAAGTGTACCTGCCTGCACTGTTGCCACTTGACCACCTTACTAAGTGTACCTGCCTCCACTGTTACCACTTGACCAGCTTGCTAAGTGTACCTGCCTCCACTGTTGCCACTTGACCACCTTGCTAGTGTACCTGCCTCCACTGTTGCCACTTGACCACCTTGCTAGTGTACCTGCCTCCACTGTTGTCACTTGACCACCTTGCTAAGTGTACCTGCCTCCACTGTTGCCACTTGACCACCTTGCTAAGTATACCTGCCTCCACTGTTGCCACTTGACCACCTTGCTAAGTGTACCTGCCTCCACTGTTACCACCTGACCACCTTGCTAGTGTCTGACTCCTTCGTTTGTACCCGGCATGGCTCAAATTACCTGTAAGTGACTCGTTCCTCCTGACCCGGCTCATCCTTTTCCCACAGTAGAGCCACACGATCCGGGTGTTGACGAGCGTGACGATCCACACAGTTGACTGGAACACAAGATTACGTTATGTGATGTAAGTGGCTTAGAAAACCCACAAATTGAAAAATGAGACTTGTGCAACATTTGGGAAACTTTACTGAGGGAAGGCTTGGCCAGCCAGTGGCTTCTTCAGTCCAGTACAGAGAAGAACGGTGGAAGATGAGGAGGGGTTTGAGGTAATCAGTCCCTCAGCCTGAAATCGAGGTGTTTAGTCCATCAGTCTTGAAACTGATGTATTGAACACATCGACTACAGGCCGAGGGACTGATTACCTCATCTACTGTTTCCAGTTTAACTGTATTGGATGGATAAAAGCCATTGGTGACCGAAACGTATCTAATTCGTCAACTTTGTCAGTATTGTATACCATTTATGTAATGTTACATAGCTGCATATATAGGTACGATAGATCCAGAGAGACTATAAGTCTGTAATCAAAGTAGCTAGTCATAAAAAGGCAACGCCAGGAGCTATAACTGGATCCACACACACACACACACACACACACACACACACACACACACACACACACACACACACACACACACACACACACACACACCTGAGTCATCTCCTACTTACACAGACTCCCGTGAATCGTACACAGCTTCCAAACTCAGCCATACTCACCTGAGACATTCAGCTGACCATCTGGAAACCATCTGAAGGCAGACTTCTCCATATCATGGTCCCTCACCACCTGGAACTCCTTCTGCCACTCCAGACGAGAGCGAGCCAGACGTCCCCAGAACTCATCCGGCTATTAGATAAGGATATCATAATTTTTCGTTATCATAAATTATCATAAATCATTCGTGTGCTGCTTCCCTACTGTCTATCATACGTAACAAATGATGCAATGTGACTAAATCTGTCAGCATGGCCTGTTCTTATATGTAAACAGGAAGACATGTCTACTGACCCACATGTAGCACAAAAGGAGATTGATATCCCAGACTAAGTTGAATAACTTGTGAATTTCATCACAGGGGTGGCTTCAGGGGCTGAGGGAATTATGAAGAACAGTGAAGTCCCAAGTAACATCTCACCCCCTTGGTGCCCCTTACTGACTCAAGCTCTGTACCTGCCTGATGATCACGCCAAGCATAACCTTTCCTTGTGTGTGTGTGTGTGTGTGTGTGTGTGTGTGTGTGTGTGTGTGTGTGTGTGTGTGTGTGTGTGTGTGTGTGTGTGTGTTCTGTGTGTGTATGTTTTATGTGTGTACCGACCTGTTTGTACTTAACTATTTGCGGTTGCAGGGGTCGAGTCACAGCTCATATGTGTGTGTGGTTGACTCGGGTCGAGTCATGTCTCCTGGCCCCGCCTCTTCGCTGGTCGCTACTAGGTCCACTCTCTCCCTGCTCCATGAGCTCTATCGTACCTCTTCTTAAAGCTGTGTATGGATCCTGCCTCCATTTCATCACTCTCCAGATTGTTCCACTTCCTGGCAACTCTAGAAAAAATACTTCCTAACATCCCTGTGACTCATCTGGGTCTTCAACTTCCAACTGTGACCCCTTGTTGCTGTGTTCCATCTCTGAAACTTCTGTCCCTATCCACCTTTTCAATTCTTCTCAGTATTTTGTATGTCGCTATCATGTCTTCCCCTCTCTCTCCTGTCCATTGTTGTCAAGTCGATTTCTCTTAGCCTCTTCTCTTACGGCATGCCCCTGAGCTCCGGGACTAGACTTGTTGTAAACCTTTGCACGTTCTCTAATTTCTTGATGTGCTTGACCAGGTGTGGGTTCCATTCTGGAGAGAGAGAGAGAGAGAGAGAGAGAGAGAGAGTGCCACCAGGACCAGCTGTTTACGTCAGCTGATCCCTGAAAATAAAGTGTAAGCTTGATTTTTAAAGGAGTGGACCGGTAAGCCAGCGGAAGGCCTCGGTCAGACGACCAAAAGCTCCAGCTACGGGTCATCATATAACTAAGACCCGCGTCGGGAAACACTAGTCCTCTTTCCTGATCCCTGAGGTACTGAAAGCTCTCAACACAAGAACAATTCTCTGGCCTATTTAAACACAACAATATTACCTTTAAGAGGTTACGACCTATTTATGGATAAGCAGGAACAAGAGTACAGCACACAAGACAACTTTAAACTAAGATTCCAGTGTGATTTATTATCTACAAAGATCTGAAGATGGTTATATATCTCAGGAAATCCGAGGTGATAAATATTGGCGACTGGCTGCGCCTAGCGATGACTTTTTGTTTTGAAATAAGAACAAAGATAAAAGCCGAAGGAAAATTTTCGTGGGTGTAAATGTCAACAACAGTGAACAAAAGACGTTGCATAACAGGATTTTAATGAGACGAGGTTTCGCTCGTGAGTAGGGAAACGTTTTCCCGGTTAAAGCTTATTCTGTCGATGAAATTCGAGGCTTAGAATACATTAAATTGTTGCAGGAGAGCAAGGTGAAACGTGAGAAGTAATCTGTAAAGATGCTGCAACATCTCGAGAATCTGTAAAGATGCTGCAACATTGCGAGAATCTGTAAAGATGCTGCAACATCTCGAGAATCTGTAAAGATGCTGCAACATTGCGAGAATCTGTAAAGATGCTGCAACATCTCGAGAATCTGTAAAGATGCTGCAACATTGCGAGAATCTGTAAAGATGCTGCAACATCTCGAGAATCTGTAAAGATGCTGCAACATTGCGAGAATCTGTAAAGATGCAACATCTCGAGAATCTGTAAAGATGCTGCAACATCTCGAGAATCTGTAAAGATGCTGCAACATCTCGAGAATCTGTAAAGATGCTGCAACATTGCGAGAATCTGTAAAGATGCTGCAACATCTCGAGAATCTGTAAAGATGCTGCAACATCTCGAGAATCTGTAAAGATGCTGCAACATCTCGAGAATCTGTAAAGATGCAACAATGCGAGAATCTGTAAAGATGCTGCAACATCTCGAGAATCTGTAAAGATGCTGCAACATCTCGAGAATCTGTAAAGATGCTGCAACATCTCGAGAATCTGTAAAGATGCTGCAACATCTCGAGAATCTGTAAAGATGCTGCAACATCTCGAGAATCTGTAAAGATGCTGCAACAATGCGAGAATCTGTAGAGAGGCTGCAACATCGCGAGAATCTGTAGAGATGCTGCAACAGTCCTCGCGTGCTTAACAACAGACCTCACTCATGATAAGAGGCGTCTTATTTACATTGCTCGTCAGGATAACGCGAAGGAAATTGTTCTCTGCCTCTCATGTTAATCATTTAATGACTCGTTGGAGCTGTTGGTCATTGTCTGAGGTGTTATGTTGACTTACACGTCATCACCTCCAAATACACAATATTACACAAGATATTTTATTTTTTGTTTCCTGATGTAATTCCACAACTCAGGTTGGAGTCAGGTGCCACGTTTATCATTGCTATGGTAGGTGTGGTGTGACCGCAGCACCACAAGCACCTTCAAGTATGGTGCCTCAGAGCAGTGGTAGATATGTATCTGTGGTATACATGGAGATCTGAGGGGCGGATGCTTGTGTGGATGACCTCGCTGTGGTCAAGGACCAAGCAGCGGGGGCGCTGATCCCGGGACACTCTCCAGGTATACACAGGTATGTAACAGCAGCACGAGGCAAATTACAACGAAAGCACGGAATAAATCATTCATGGCAAACACAATCTGAATTTCAAGGTTTCTGTAAGATAGTTAAAGTCTTCCAGGCCATCACGCGCCTTAAGCAGGAACTTGTGTTCCTGCAAATGACTGAGTTATAACATGTGCTGCGCATACTGACGGTATTAAATTACTGTAGTATATAGAACATTGTACTTAACTAAAAGTACCGTGAACAAGGATGAAATATGAGACATCACTGTAACTGATAAACCGAAACAACAGGTAAAAATATACGTGTATATTTCGGCTCAAGTCAGAGGCCCTTTTCAATACTGATCGTATTGTAATGATTTACACAAAAAAAAATCGTAAAGTGTACTGAGTTTGTTGGGAAAAAAATGTTTTGAGTACAGAACGTTAGGGAATTTGATAAAGGTTGAGGTCGTTGACCGAGAATGTCAAAGGTTATACCACTGTTATTCAGTACTCGGACTCAGACTTGAAACTGATAAGAATATAAAGGAGGAACACTGCAGGAGGTCTACCAGCCCATACTAGGAAAGTTTTTCTCAAACCCAAACAATTGTGCATGAGGAAAATACACTACCGTGAAGGAGTAACAGAAGCAGCACACCACCTTTACACTCTCTCTCTCCCACATATAAAAACAAACAAAAAAAAAGAGGTCAGCTTAGCCAAGCAAGTCAACAGATTAGAAAGTTGTCTGACACCATCACCTCGGTACTAGTTGCTGCCAGTACTGTCAAGCCACCACAGCAATACCAGCTGTTGCTGTACTGGCTGTCAAGCCACCACAGTAACACCAGCTGTTGCTGTACTGGCTGTCAAGCCACCACAGCAATACCAGCTGTTGCTGTAATGGCTGTCAAGCCACCACAGCAACACCAGCTGTTGCTGTACTGGCTGTCAAGCCACCACAGCAACACCAGCTGTTGCTGTACTGGCTGTCAAGCCACCACAGCAACACCAGCTGTTGCTGTACTGGCTGTCAAGCCACCACAGCAACACCAGCTGTTGCTGTACTGGCTGTCAAGCCACCACAGCAACACCAGCTGTTGCTGTACTGGCTGTCAAGCCACCACAGCAACACCAACTACTGCTGGCACTGATAAGTGGTTTAATGGCTCCTTGAAACTTAAGATTGTACCAGTAAGTATCTGTGACCTGGACTTGTATAATACGTGTGGCAGGATCACTTGACTCTTGACAGCTGCTCTGTGACTACTGAGATGTGAGCTACTGTGAGGAAGGGAGGTATACCTCATAATATGTATACTCAAGTGTTCGTAGGCCACGTGGTGTCTCTCAGGTCCCATGCTCTCTCAGGTCACGTGGTCTCTCAGGTCAGGCTACCAACAACCCTCCCCCCCACACGCACCTCATTCCTGCCAACAACCCTCCCCCCCACACGCACCGCATTCCTGCCAACAACCCTCCCCTCCACACGCACCCGCATTCCTGCCAACAACCCTCCCCCCCACACGCACCGCATTCCTGTCAACAAACCCTCCCCCACACGCACCGCATTCCTGTCAACACCCCTCCCCCCACACGCACCGCATTCCTGCCAACAACCCTCCCCTCCACACGCACCGCATTCCTGCCAACAACCCTCCCCCTCCACACGCACCGCATTCCTGCCAACAACCCCCCCCTCCACACCACACCGCATTCCTGCCAACAACCCTCCCCCTCCACACGCACCGCATTCCTGCCAACACCCCTCAATACACATCCTAACTCAATACCCCTCAATACACATCCTAACTCAATACCCCTCAATACACATCCTAACTCAATACCCTCAATACATATCCTAACTCAATACCCTCAATACACATCCTAACTCAATACCCTCAATACACATCCTAACTCAATACCCTCAATACACATCCTAACTCAATACCCTCAATACACATCCTAACTCAATACCCCTCAATACACATCCTAACTCAATACCCTCAATACACATCCTAACTCAATACCCTCAATACATATCCTAACTCAATACCCTCAATACACATCCTAACTCAATACCCCTCAATACACATCCTTACTCAATACCCTCAATACATATCCTAACTCAATACCCTCAATACACATCCTAACTCAATACCCCTCAATACACATCCTTACCATACCCTCAATACACATCCTAAACA